CTTGGTTGCAATGCACCACATGAACAAGACTTGGACTGCAGACCCTCTCTGCACCCAGAAAGGCCAGCACTGAAGCTTGGTTTTTCACTCTTACTCAATAACCAATTACTTCCAGAACTCAGAGATTTGCAAAGCTTGAAGAAATGTAGGGACAGTGTATCCTCCTTAACCCAGAGTGGGCCCATTCAGAGCCTTCCCCAACAGCCAAATCTGCCTTCTCTAAACCAGGGAAAGAAGTGGAGGGAGCGTCTGGGAAAGGACACAGTGGTCTTTGGGATATTTATACCTTCCGGGAGGAAAACCAGGGACTGTGCCATGGGTGGGACAGGGAAGCACTAAAAACAACATCTTTTTTAAATGATGCACTCACTTTTATGTGCATGAGTATTTTGTCCACATGGAAGATATGTACACCTCATGTGTGCAGCGCCCACAGACGCTGTGTCAGAGTCTCTGGAACTGGGGTTCCAGACAGTTGTGAGCTGGTGTGTGGGTGCTGGGACTCCAACCCAAGTTCTCTTCAAGAACAGTAAGTGCTCTTAACCACTAAGCTGCCCCTCCAGCCCCTGAAAACACAATGTCTGAGCTCTGGAGTGAGACTCCAGCACTTGCAAACCTCTACTCAGCCACAGCACAGGCACCATGATTGGCCCCAGGACCTGTATGTAGTCAGGGTTCAGAACAGAGGAAAAGAAGAGCTGAGTGTCAATCTGTCACTTGGATATGATCATAAACAAATAGAAGTACTAGGCTGGGGTGTGCTCTAGTTGGTAGGACTCACTCACCCGGCACACATGAAGTTCTGGGTTCAATTACCAGGACTGCATAAATAGGCATAGTGGTGTCTGCCTATAACCCCAGAACTTAGGAGGTTCAGCAAATAAATTCAAGGTCACCAAGCAACCTAGTGAGTTTGAGATTAGTCTTGATACAAAACAAACAAACAAAACGTCTTATTTTGTTGTTGTGGTGGTGGTGGTTTGGACACAGGGTTTAAGTTGCCCAACTTGGCCTTGATCTCAGCCCAGGCAAGCCTTGAACCTACGCTCTGACTCAGCCTCCTGAATAAATGGGATGACAAGCCTGCATTAGTAACTATTGCTGATAGGCCTGGCGTTAGTCACTATTCTAGTAAACTGGGAGCTTGTCAGCCTACAGAGCACTACTTGGAAGACTGAGGAGTGAGCAGAGAGCAGCTCGCAGCCAACTCAGGAGGAACATGTAAAAGCAGCCATGTGGAGTGAGGGTTGGGTCAGGTCCCACTGTGAAAATCAGGGCGCCACTAAGCTTCCATTACCAGCCACCAATGGCCTGTCCAGTTCACCAAAACTTTCCCGCCCCCTAGATGCCCTCCAGTAAGGAGCATCCATCAGAGCCCAGCACCCTCTTTCTTCCCTGCTGATTGATGGGTGCCTGCCCCTGCCCACCCCCTCCAGTCCCACAACTCACTCCCTTCAAACCCAGTGCAGAGTCCCAATGAAATAAACTGGAACTTGGATCTCAGAAAGTGTTTCTTATGCCCTCCATTATCCATGAACACCAGGGAAATCAAGCCAGGCGAGGCCAAGCCTGTGTCCTACGCAGTACCCAGCTCACCTTAACCCAGTCTGTCTGCCCATCCCACTGCAGGCTCAAGCTCCTTAATTCAAGGACTGTATCCTGTTGACCAAGAACTTGGCAGATAGGACAGAGCTCTGCCAGCAGTGGTGGCTTTTTAAATAGTTACTCAATGAGTAACCAAAGAAAGAAATAACAACAACCACCCTTCATGTAGCTGGGCAGTAAATCCCAGCACTTGAGAAGCTAAAGCAGGAGCTCTCTCTCAGTCAGAGGTGAGCCTGGGCTCTATAGAAAGACCCAGGTCCTAACATCCCCCACCCTATCTCTCAAAAAAAAAAAAAAAAACCAAGTTGGGAACATTGGCTTGGGAAACAGGAAGGCAGGCACATGAAGGGACAAAGCAGAGGAGTTGGGATGGGGATGTTCTGTGGGGGGGTGAGCATGTGGAAGTCGGGAGACAGCATGCAGGAATCAGTTCTTTCCATCATCTACCTTGTAGGTTCCATGGATCAAACTCAGGGCATTAGGCTTGGCAGCAAGCCCCTTTACCACCTGATCCATCTTACCAGCCCCAGTGGGGACATTTGACTAGACACCCCAGCAAGCTTCCCACTTCAGGAAGACCACTCGGCCCTAGTGCCACCCCCATCAGCACCCTCCTCTCCCGGCCCCCATCCCCCTTCTGGGTTCTCATATCATAACTTGTTTCATCTAAACAGCAATGACAAATGACAGAAGAAAATATGTGCTTGGGTACCACCCAGGGGAAATTACCCAAGTTTGAACTTTATTTTTCTCCTTAGGTGCCAGTCTCTCTATGTCTTTGCCCTTTAGCACCAGGACCAAAGCAGGGAGGGAGGGAGGGAGGAGTTACTCCCCTGGGCATTTGAAAAGGTTAACAGCATCTTTTAGATAAAGAGTTTCAAAGGAGAAGAGCTAAGAAACACTACAAATTCCATCATTCCTCACTGGATCAGCATGAGAAAGTAACTTCACATATACACACACACACACACTGAAGCCATTCTATAGACTAAGTGACTGGTTATAACAGACAATCACAGCTCATCTTCTGGAGAATGTATCCCTTCCCCCGGCTGAAGCTGCCCCACTCACTCATCCCATTTTTCTTCATTTACTTTCTTCCTGTCAGAACATTACAACTGCTATCTATCCCAAAGTGAGAAGTGTTATAATAAATTTGTCTCTGGTAACCCTGAGCTACACATGGGGGAGGGCCAGACTGCACTCCCATCTCTATCACAGGTAACTGCCACTATTCAGGCACAACTTTCGAGATCCCAAGAGTTTTAGAGCTTCTTTAGGTAGCTCTTGTTCCCCAACTGGAAAGGTGTTTACAACCAGACATTTCGATGGCCTGATATATGCTCATGCATACATGGCTGGGCATGCACATCCACGTGTGCGTGTACACACACACACACACACACACGATCTGTTTCCCAGAGGGTGAAGATTTGGGATCAAGGCCATGCTGCGACTCCATGCATCCCACATAACCTCCGCTCCTGAGCCAGGGCCACAACTATGATGGTGAAACTCCCCAGCGGTCACACTTCTAGCAGCTGAACACAGTGACAGGACAGGGCATGGTGGCAGGAGGGAAGGAAAACGGGACAGACCAAAGGCGCTACACTCCATCATTTTTTTTATTTTTCAAAATCACTGTCCTCTGGCTCATGTGAGAGGCCAGAAACAAACACAAATACCCTCCCAGGGACATTCTGACCCTATAAAAAGACAACACACTGGGTCAGCACCTCAGGAAAAAGCAAAGATCTGATTTGTGGTCATATTGTACACCCAGGAGAGAGAATGCTGACTTAGAATACCAGAGAGCGTTAACACAGGGACAACAGTGATGATAAAATATAGGTGGCCCAAAAGCATATGGCTTCAAACATAGGTCCAGCTTTTTCCTTTGTCCTATCATTTCCAGGTCACCTGAAATGACCTGGCTGAGGTGTTACCTGGGCTTTGCCACCTTACTGGAAGCGCTAACTTGCTAACTCCGGTGTTATTCTATCAAGGAATGTACACACAGTTGCTCCTGGGGGCCGAAGCACACATCAAATATAACCCACAAATGCACACACGTGGACACAAGTGCCAGGAGCAAAGTCTTCAGGATCTCTCCAACTTTGGGGAAATCTCTCATGTTTATGCAAAAGCCAGTAGCACTCTGTGTGTGTGTGTGTGTGTGTGTGTGTGTGTGTGTGTGTGTGTGTGTGTGTGTGTGTGTGTCCGCGAGTAAGTAGGGGTCTACAAGAGCTCACCAAATCCTAAGTGTTCTCTCCTTCTCATCTGTGATCCCTTTCCAAATCACTTGGTCTTCCCTGGTAGGACAACCCGGAGTTATAACCTTGACTCTGGCAAGTACTTGAGATTTTAATGCCTACACTCCAACCTCCTAGGTAGAAAGTGCCCCTGGAAATATTTACTGTAAACAGAGTTAGGAACAAAGGGAACTTTTCTTTCTTTCTTTTTTTTTTTTTTTTTTAAGGCACCACCTGCGGTCTGAGGTTGGTACGCAGCGTCCACAGGCCCCCCTGGTGGAGAGGTGGGTCAGGAGCCTGAGCCCTGCATGCAGATGGGTTCTCCCCAGAGAGCGCAATGCGCTACCGAGTTCCAAACCCGGCAGCACCCAGAACCACGAGGTGCCGGGGGAGCTTTTAAAATGCTCCCACCGGCTGCCTCCGCCCCCCCAGATTCATGGAATCGGAATGTAGGCAGGGAGGGTATAAAGATAAGGGGCTTTCGTTTGGTTTTTATTTTTTAAACCACACCAGGTGTGTAGCCCAGTTTGCGAGTCAGGTCACCTTTAAAAAAATTCCCACCACCGTATTTTGAGCAGGGTACTCGATGTTGAAGGGTTACTGTGGTGAAGGGGCACGCACATAGTAAATACTCTTAAATTCTTAAAAAAAAAAAAAAAAAAAAAAATCTGTTCAACACCACAGGCAGGCACCTGTCTAGAAGCCAAAGGGTGATGCAACTTAGAAAAGTCCCTCAAAAGGGAAAAAAAAAAAGTGCTCTTGTAGGATAAGGGCTTTCGGGGTGACCTGCCTGGACCGTACAGTGAGTGGCGCGCGGGCCAGGACAGAGGAGAGACCACCAGCCGGTTCGGTTTAAGGAAAGATCCTTAAGAGCACGCTGAGATCAAACACCGCAGGGCAGGGAGTGCGGTGCTCCGAGCGGATCGCCCGCAGCTGTCACTAGAGCCCTGCACAGGTTCGCCACCAACTGTTCGGTGCGTCTGGGCTGCAGGGCGCGGTGTAGGAGGCAGGAGCGCACCTCCAGCCCCGGGACTGCGGTGGCCACGCCGGATCCGGAGTCCAGAGCTTAGGCTGAGCACTGCGCAAACCTGCAGGAGCCCCTCGCCGTCCCGCGCACACCCTCCCCGCTCCGAGCTCACTTACCGCCTCCGCCTCCCGGGTCCCACTCCCGCAGCAGCCCGCAGAGCCCGGCCGGAGAGCAGCGGCCGTAGCGTCGCCAGGAGGCCGCGCCAGCCCCGCCCCGCCCTGCAGCCGCCCGCCCTCCCGGGAGGAGGAGAAGCAGGCGGGTCTGCGTCCGGACCCTCCCAGCGACCCGGGACCTGGACTGACCAAGGACTGAGGCCCCTCGTGGCCAAGATGGGTCGTTCCCTGCCACCCTGCTCCCTCTGCGCCCTCGCCAGCACCTCCTCCCTACCCAGCAGTCTCCCTCTGTCCTTTCTCTCAGCTCTCCTTTACCACCCCTCCTCCAGGAAGCCTTCCCTATTTCGCAATCCCACCCCATCGCAAATCTCTGTTTCCCCCACTCTTCCACACAGCCTGGCTCTCTTCACCTGGATGCAGATCGCACTGATGGAAAAGCACGGGGTGACTCCAATAAGCTAAAGCTGGGCCTGTCTCTGAGGTCACCCAGCTGCTAGTAGCAGAACTGGCATTAGAAACCGAATCACAAGCCCTAGTTTAGTTCATTCCCAGGAAAGGTGGCATTCATTACATGTCAGCTGTGAGGGCCAGAGCGAAGATTGTCATGCCCAAGCTTCAGTTTCCGCCGTTGTAAAATGGACAGGACTCCCAGCCCCCCACCCCCCACCCACGCACGCTCCACCGGGTTATCATTCCCGAGGAATGGACTGAGGAAATGTCACATAGCCTACCCTGTTTTAGTAAGTAAATGTTTGCTGACATGTTCAATAGAATCAACACTCAAAAAATTAAGTCACTCAAAATACCAACGTGAAAGATTTCAAAGAGTAACAGCAATTCTTATGTAGAAAACAAAAACAGCAGCAGAAAAAAAATGCACAGTGACTAGAAGCACTGGTATTTACAAGGCTGAAGCGATGGCTCAGCTGTTAAGAGCACTTGCTGCTCTAGCAGAAATTCCGGTTCAATTCCCAGCACCCACGTGGTGGCTCCCAAGCTTCTGTAACTCCAGTCCCAAGGGATCTGGTGTCCTCTTCTGGCCTCCTTGAGTGCTGCATAAATGTGGTGCACAGACACACATGCAATGCAGGCAAAACCTATACACATAAAATAAACATTTTCAAGTGATTTTTAAAAAGAACATAAAGGAGGCAGCCATCCTCCCTAGAGCCCTTTGGAGAACTTACTTCTCAGAAACAGTGAGTCTACTAGGCATGCTCCACGCACAGTCAGCCACAGCCAAGAGTGGTTATGAATGCAGCCTTCCTCCACTCCCCAAAAGAAAGTAGTAAACCTATTTAGAACATTAAGGGTTTTGTGATTTTTTTTTTCAAAAAAAAAAAAAAAATAAGTGCTTAAATCTCAATTCTGGGCTTTGTAAATGACAAAATTGCATGAATAATGTTCTTGGTTGAACAGCATTCTTGGGCAGGATGGCTTGCAAAAGCATCCTGAGCAAAGGCATCTGGGCTTTAGGGTACACCTGGAACATGGAGTTAGGCAAACTAGCAAGGGAGACTGTGCTGGATGGTGGAAAATATATAACACACAGGGACACAGGCTAACCACACCTCAGACACCTCAAAATGCCTGCAAAGGAGCCTGCACCTAAATGACACAACACCAGGATCGGCAGAACCCTGCAGCACAGTGATGAGGCCAACCAGGAGGAGGGTTACAGAGGAAACTGTGTGGGGAAAGACTTTCCCAAACAGCTTCTAAAATTGGTGACCAGATATATGCCCTGAGATAGTTTCTGGAAATGGAAATAGGGACATGGAGAGAGGGGAGGCTTTTTTTTAAAGATGTATTTAGTTTATGTTTGTATGTATATACCTGAGTATATATGTGTATACAGCATGCATGTGTGCCCATAGAGATCAGAAGATGTTGGATCCCCTGGAGCTGGAGTTAGAGGAGAACATTTTATGTGGGTGCTTGGAATCTGAACCCCAGTCCTCTGAAAGAGCAGTAAGTGGTTGATGGATTGATCCATTGATTATTATGTATTTATTTGGTTTTCTGATACTGGGTTTCTCTATGTAGCCCTGGCTGTCCTGGAACTCACTCTGTAGACCAGGCTGGCCTCAAACTCAGAGATCCACCTGCCTCTGCCTCCCCAGTGCTGAGATTCAAGGTGTGCCACCATGCCAGCTTGAAGCAAGTATTCCTAACAGCTAAGCCGTCTCCCAGCTGGAGAGGTTGTTTCTGTGAGAGCTACTGAAGGGTTTGTAGAACATTCATGGGAAATCTGTGACCAGCAGGCTGGTGGCTGGAATGGGGTAGGGGGACAACATATGAGCTAGGCCAGGGACTAGGAAAGGAGGGTGATGTACCCTCACTCAGGGCCAGGAAATGGAAGGCTCACTCCAAGGAAGAAAGTGAAGGGTCGTGAGAGGTGTCGGGGAACCAGGGAGCCCAATGAAAGCCAGGACGAGCAGCTCCTCTAGGAGGACACTGGAACACTTGCCACTTATCTGCCTTAGTCTGGGTCCCCCGGAAATAGAGCTTTGAGAAGGATTTGAAAGCAGGTGATCTATTCAGGAAGTGGCATTAGGATGGAGAAGTGGGGAGCAGGAAGAGAAAGGTAGGGAAGATGGAAAGACCAGCTTTAGAGTATGCTCAGGAGGCTGAGGCTGTTTACAATGGAGACTTCCCTCCACTCCCCTCTGGGGCTTCTGAGAAGCATGCCAATGGGCCCCCAGAATTGGCACTCAGAACCTCAGGGGTTAAGAGATTTCCATAAGGCCCTGGGAAGGATGTTCCAAGGTAATTTTCCCTATTCTGGGCTACCCCTCTATTGCTAAAATTCCTTCGCAAAGGGAGACATAAACAATGTCAATCCCTTTTCCTGAGGCCCCATGACTAACGAGTGAAGTACAGCTCTGCCAATTGACTCTGGGGAGCCAGCTGAGTTTCCTGGGCTCCCTCACAAAGAACAGGTGAGGCCTATTTACAGGGGTGTAGATGTGCCTCCCAGTATCACCCCAGCAGGGATGGGAACTTCCCGTAGCTACACAGACAGAGCTCCCCCATTCCCTAGTCTTCCCCATCCTACATACTCTAGCCAATCCCCGAGGCCTGTGCAATAAGGCAGAGTCACATACAGCAAGTCATAGAATATGGCTGGATACTCAGGTAAGGGTCCCCGTGTAAACAGTCCACAGGTCAGGCTGACTAATCCTTTTGCAAAAGGACAAACTGAACTCCCAAAGACAGTGAGTGCTTGGCTCACAGGGCACGCTCACAACTCCACACTCCACCCCTGTGCTAAGAAGGCTCCTTGGAGCAGAAATTCCCACTTGAAGGAGCCAGTGGCAGAGCATGGAACTATGCACACAGGACTTGTTCTCTGCCAGGTGCCCCAGAGCCCGTGGCTCCCCCAGCACATAGCAGCCAACAGTTTCTTTTGGCATTGTCCCCTATCTTACCCAAAGCTGTCACAGTGAAGCAGCTCAAACTGTCTCCCCATATACAGGCAGAGGTTAAATCTCTGGCTAATTCTATGGCATGCCAACATGTGCTCTTCTATCCTCCAGTAAGACCAGCTATAACCTCTCTCCTTAGGCCTGGCTTAGAGCCAGGGAAGGAAGGCATCCCTTGGGTGCTCAGCCTGGTGTCTATACTATACACACCTTTCAGATGAGCACTCTGTCTTGGCAGCTGGGGAGATGGCTTAATTTGCTGCATAAACATGAATATTTAAATTCAAATCCCCACATAAAAAAGCTGATGGCCAGCCTCGCTCTGGGTTCAGTGAGAGACCCTACTTCAGGGGAGTAGGCAGAGGGATGAAGCAGGATATCCAGCATCCTCTCTATCCCGCGTCCTCTCTGGCTTCCTCAAGCACACAGGATTTGTTTTTATGCCACTTTGACACACAGGGTAGAGTCATTTTGGAAGAGGAAGCCTCAATTGAGAAAAGACCTACACCAGATTGGTCTGCCGGCAAGCCAGTGGTACACTTTCTTGATTGATGCTGGTGGGCCCATCTCACTGCGATACTACTGCTGGGTAAGTGGTCCTAGATGATATGAGAAAGTCTTGGTAAGCAAGTCAGTAAGTAGCACTCCTCCATGGCCCCCACATCAGCTCTTGCCTCCTCCAGAGTCCTGTTGGCAAGCTCTGACTTCCTCTGATGATGGACCGTGATGTGAAAATGGCAGTGAAATAAACCCTCTCTTTCCTAAGTTGCTTTTTGGTCTTGATATTTTATCACAGCAGTAGAAACTGTAAGACAGGAGCACTCACCCGAAAACGCATACACTAATCCTACCCAGTTATACACACAGCATGAACCTATAATCTCAGGAGGCTGAGGCAGGAGAATCATTTGAGCACAGGTTTAGAGCCAGCCTGAGCAACTGAGCAAGACTGTCTCAAAACAGAACAAAACCAGTGAGTTTTAAACAATCATTCATTTCTAAGCATCCTCTCCTATGAGTACTGTGAGGGCTGGGCTAGAGAGATGGTTCAGCAGGTAAGAGCACTTGCTGCTCTTCCAGAGGACCCAAGTTCAAATCCTAGCATCCATATGGCAACACATAACCATCTATAACTCAAGTTTCTAATGCCCTCTTCTGGTCTCTATGGGAACTGCATGCACGTGTGCACATACATACATTCAGATTCTTCCTTGGGTGTTTAACCACCTGAACACAGCAGGTATTCAATATATGTGATGAATGAACAAAAGACACCTACTAGGCAGGTCACAGGGGAGAGGCAGGATCTAAGGAATAGTGATAGGTCCCAGGACACTTTGGAAGAGCAGCTGTGTTTATATATCCTGTGCAAGGAGAAAGATGAGGGTACCACATTCTGTGGAAGACAGGAAGAAGGAGACACCGTTGCTTATGTTGCTATTTACTCTAAATGCAGGGCATCCTTATCACAAAGTTAGGATCACTCTAAGAGAGGTGACATTTCTCAACGGAAAAATAATCAAATGAGGCTATAAACTCTGGCTCGGTGTGGCCTCTGCAGGACCAGCTGCAGGAGGACAATGGCAGATTTCCTGTACAGATATTTCAAGCTTTCACAGTACAGAGAAACCAAGAAAATAGACTGACAACATCAAGGGATTCTGTGAGGTTGAACATTTTGTTGGTTGGTTAGGTACAAACAGAGCCTGCCCTTCTAGAAGCTAGGCTTCCTG